CGGTAAACTGCTTTTCGCCTTCTCCAATCCCATTGCCTTCTCCGCTCTGCGCAGCCCCTCATGGGGTAGGCCTTCCAGATATTCCTCCCAATAAATGGTAAGCAGTTCCCGAGCGGATCGACTCTCCGTCTTTGAATCCAGTTGCTGCTCCAGCCATTCCACTAAGTCACCTCCCGGTTGAGCAGGCTGATCACCTACATCAAAAACGACTAATTCTTTTGTTCGGTTGTAGTAGTGATACGTGGCATTACCAATGCGAAACAGACGAGCCATCCATTCCCGCTTATCTTCGGGGAGGGTAGCTAACATCGCGGTTTGGTTCTGATTACATTCTTCGATGGGGTGGCGCATTGTACTTCGGCTAGTTAGGTACTCATCATACGTATAGACCAAAGCAGACTTACTGAAGAATAGACGGATCAAAATCGTACCCTGCTTCCTTTTCTGCGTCAATGAGCCTACGTAGCAGCGGCTCTGGATCACGGAGCGAGAGAATGTAATCCCCCCAATTTGCTGAATTCCCAAAGCGTTTATCCTCTTCCGGTAGTTGGGTCAACGTTATCTCCGCCGTAAGCTGCTGGTTAATGCCATAGTTCTCGAAAAACTTAACCAGTTGATGGAGCTGTAAGGCTTTGGCCGGTGGACGCCCCGCCAGGCGAAAGAAGGGATTGCGCAGGGCTGTTCCCAAGTATTCTTCGTCTTGCCAGTCATGAATAGTCCACAGGTGAAGCAGATAGAGTTGGCGATAATGGGATAAATTCAGGTAGAACTGGCCAAACTGGCGATTCTTATCGTACCACTGGTTCCGAAAATGCTGTCGCAATTGGTTCAACTCAGCCTCATCATCACCCGGAATGATCGGGGTTATAGCTCGTAGATTAGCAAAACCGTCTTCAAGGGGCATCTGTTCCAAGGTACGGTAAGAGCGGATAAACTGCAGAACGTCCTGGAGGGGTATGGGTTGTTGGGGATGGTTCATGGATTACTCATTCTCAGTGGATAAGAGCCCGTTGGTTTTGGGAATGGGGGCATTTTGAATTTAGTATTGTCATAGTAGAGCTGGCTGTCTTTATCGGCTACGGACTGCTCTGTCTTGAAACGACTAATCCCGTAAATCTGGTCATAATATAGCTTGATGCGCTCCCGCTCAGCCGGTAATTGATTTTTCAAAATCACGTCGCAAAGCATGCCATCTTCGACAAACTCGGCATCCCATAGGGCATCTGAGTCTACAAATAGCGGGGCTTGCCACCACTGTGTAATCGTCCGGTCAGTGGGTGGCTGCACTTCAAAAAAGTTGAGATTGATCCAATAATAACAGGCCGGATCTTGAATATCAATGAGCATCTGCTTCAGTATAGCGTACAGGGGCGCATCACTCATGGTGTCTGTGAAAAGCTAATAGTTGGGTGTTTCATCGACTAAAATTAAGGACGTTGAAGCGGTGGTTTGTCGACTGGCACTGACAATCTTGTAAACGGTAGCCGAGGAGGGAATCGAAAACGCCTGCATGATTTCCCGAATGGTCCGTCCTTCCCCATAAGCACTTCGGACCATGGGGGCAATTTTCTCGTAACGAGCACTCAGGCCTTTTTTGCGCCCACCCGTTCGCCCCCGAGCTCTGGCCGCTTCCAAGCCAGCTTTGGTGCGCAGAATGAGTCGCTTTCGCTCATGTTGGGATAGAATGGCAAACAGTTGAAAGATAAACTCGCCATGGGGAGTTGTCGTGTCAATCAGGGGTTGGGTAACGCTCTTAAAGCGAATGCCTTTCCGATTCCACTCATCGACCAGCATAATCAACTCCAGGGTGGTACGACCCAGCCGATCGATGTCCCAAACTACTACTTCATCACCCGTACGCACTTGTTCGCGCATCTTATCAAATTCAGGTCGGGTCTTGGCGGCTCCGGATAGCTTTTCGGTATAGATCCGATCGCAGCCTTCCCGCTTCAGGGCATCAATCTGAAGATCATAATTCTGCTCGTCCTTGGAAACGCGGATATAGCCAAACTTCATGGTAACTTTTCGCAAAACTCGTTAGGTTTGCAAATAGGTGAAATTTGATTTTGCAAACAACAAGCTGAAACAAAAAAGAGCAGGTCATAAGGGAAGAATATAAAGCTTGTTAGTATTTCGTTTTTCTGATCGTTTGACTGAAATCTCTTCTGAGTTTTTATGGCGCGTACAATACCCCTTCTTGACGAAACGCAGCGTCGGGAGTTCGACCGACCACCCAAGTTTACCTACCAGCAACGCAAGTTCTTCTTTACCCTGCCGGGCTGGGCCGAGGAGCTACGGCGTGAACTGCTGACAACTCATACACAATTAGGGTTCATCCTTCAGGTCGGCTATTTTAAGATGGCCGGTCGGTTCTTTAGCCCACGCCATTTTGTGGCCGCAGACGCCGATTACGTCCGTCGACGCTGGCGCTTAGTGGGAGCTGACCTGGAACGCTACGAAGGGGCCACGATCGGTCGACACCGTACCCTGATTTTGACCCACTTTGGCGTAGCGGCTTTTGACGAGAGTCAACGTGACCGTACGCTTGAGCAAGCGATAACCTACGCCCGTCGGCAGATGAATTCAGCCGCCGTCTTTCGCTCAACAGCGGACTATGTTCGTTCCCACCGGGTTGAGGTGCCCACCTATGCCATGCTGGCCGGGGTTGTCACCCAAGCCTTTCGCCAGCTCGAAGCTCAGATGACTGATCAGT